TCCGATGACCAGGGAACAGGGCAGCAACGAGGGCCTCCAGCTGTGGGGAGCCTGTCTGAGGGGGATCCAACCTGCTGGGCCTCCTGGGGGCTCCTAGAGGGAGCTTTGGAAAAGGTTTTACTGTACAATCTTTATTCTCATAGTACTGTATGTATTGTAATTCCATTCCCACTAAATAAAAAAACAACAAAACTTTCAGTTTAAGTAAACGTCAATTTCTTAAAACTCCAGGTAATCTCCCATTTCGTTTCACCTTCTTTTCCTCTATTACATATTTTGCCCCTTGGCTGTTTCTTCTAAATCAAGTGCTTCAGTATTTCTGCTACCACAGAGTCACAATTACCTTCGCTTCCCTTTCAGTGGGGCCACAGACTCTCTCTTGGCCATGGGTCCAAGTTCATTCTTTCTAGCTCGGCTCTGCAACCCATTTCTAATGCCCTGTATGATGTTGTCTGCCACTGTCTCCTGGCCGGGCACATGGTGTCCCAATGGAGAAGTGGATGTCAGCTCTGAGCTACGGTTCCCGTGGCCAGACACCCCACACCACACCCGGGCCCCCCTCTTGAGATTCGTCTTAGCCCTTCCACTTCACAGAAACTCTCCTGCCCCAAAGATGCAGCAGGACAAATCTGACTGTCTCCCCCTGCGTCCTCCAACCCTGTCTCATTAGAGCTGTTTAAACACAAGGCCTGGTCCACCCCCGTCCCAGCTGACCAGCAGGCGCTCACCGTTGTGTATTCAAAGTAGTAAAGGCAGTTGTCAGTCAGAATGAACCAGCGTCTTTTCCAAGTCTTTACCCTGCCACCTGCAGAGCAAAGAGAGATGCGTGTTGGATAGGAGTCAACCAGCCAGTGCAGGCTCCGGGGGAGGGCTCAAAGCTCTGCCCCCAGAGAGGGTGCAGGACAAGGAAGCGGGGGCAGGGCGCCAGGAAGACACTGAGACCATGGCAGATTTACATCAGTAACGAGACACAGAGCCACAACAGAAGCACCTTTCACAGCGTGAAAGTCTGTGGGTACAAGCAGAGCAAGCAAGTTGGGTGGCCCCCTGGAGATGACATCAGGACAGCAGATGAGAGCACAGGCTGGGGAGGGAGCTGGGACGGTGATGGACCAGAGAAGCGTCAGCAGAAGCCTATGGATGCGGTGGAAATGGGGGAACACAAGAGGAGGGGAGAGGGTCAGCCCCCTGGCTACTGCTACACTGCTGGTCCACCAGCCCAGGGTTTTATCAGATCAGGACAGGAGGAGGAACCAGGAAGTAAGACATTTTAATCCCCTCACAATCAAATCCAGTTTTCCTGGAGCACGGAACCCAAGTTCCTTCGGTTTCACCTTCTACCCCACCTTCCTGACTGTAATGCGTTTCTACACTGGCTTTTTAGGTTTCTGGGCCAGTGTCCTAAATTCCCCCAGAGTCCTGTGTGGGACAAAGCAGTATCCCTGGATCAGGGAAGAATCCACTGGTAAGCAGAGGTCCCTATTCAATTCTGGACTTCTCACTGGAATCTTGAAACAAAAATAACTGGAGGAGGAGGCCACAGGCCCAGTGAGCTCTCACGGGTGGCTGTGAGCTGTTGAAGGTTCCCTTAGTCCTTCTCAATATTTCTCAGTAAGAAGAAACACCGGGGTCATGAAGTTATCCCAAGATGATACAAAGGAAGGGAAACTTCACTATGGCCTCGGTGAGTGAAGGCACATCCTGCTCTCAACCTGACCATGAGCAAAGCCTTTCTTCTCCTCGACTTACACCGGGTCCAGGGAAAGCTTTCTGAACATGAACCATATGAAAGGCCTTCATGTGGTGAGATACACACAGCATTTCATAAACACTTCTTACTGCCCTGGACAGGATATGCTCTTTTGCTGACTTAACCTACAGAGAACATCACTTCTCCAATCCTCATAAAGAACAAGGACCACAGGGTGTAAATTTAGTGATCCCAGTCACACTTCCTTGCTTGCCCCTCACCACAAACAGCTGAGCACGGGGTTTAGAGGGAGTATCTCCAGCTGCCAGGACGTGGCTGTGTGATCACGCCAGGTTTCCTCAAAGGATCCGATTGCTGGAGCAACGCAAATCCTGTCACGGAAATGAAGTGTCCAGCGTCGGTCCTGGTAGCAGTTTTAAGGACAACTGGACTTTCGGGCCCCTTGCACGGCTCTGCTTGGATGCCCGAACTCTAGGAGGTTAAGCGACTGATCATGAATTGCTGAGGTTCTCAATGGCACCACCTCACGGAAGGAGTTTGGTCCTGAGCCAGCACGTGCTACGCCCCCACCCGCACCCCTGCTGCTGTCAAGCGAAGACCGACTCGACCCTCTGCCCACAGCAACTGTCAGCTTCTGTGAGCACGTACGTGCCTCTGGCCCCGAAGGCCCTAGGGCATGAATCAAGAGAACCACGGATGGAAATACGACATGAGTGAGGAAATGGGAAAGGCTGCGCAGAACCGAAATAAATCAGGAGGAGAAAGAACACAAGGAATATACTTAGAACTGGAGCCGATTTGTTATAAAAAGGAAACCCCCTTCCCCCTTTCAGAACCCGAGCAAGCAGCTCTTCTGCCTCTTGGGCCTTCACCCCCACACGGGGCTCAGCACACAGGACACCTCAACCCATGCCCACTGCCGTGCGCTCCCCTCACAGGACCACCCTGGGGGCACTTGGGGCTCAGGAGGTTGTGGAAGAGGGGTCAGATGTCACAAGGAAGAAGATGGGAGGAAATCTAGGACAGAAAAAAGCAAAGCCAGACAAGTCCTCTCCCTGGTGATGAAAGCTTGGCTCTTTCATTTCCCGACAACCTGCTGCATTAACGAGACCCCTACCATGAAGCACCACGCGGTCCCAGGGACACATTTCATGTTGAAAGGGAAACAGACATGAAACAAGCAGACAGACCGATGCGCGCACCTAGGACAGTCCCTGAGGAACTCACAGGACCACCTCCCAGCCTGCGGGCCTCTACCCCGTAGATGTAAAGGCCAGACGCTGGCTCCCCCGGAGCTGGGTGGGAACCACCTGACAAGGCCCGGAAACGTTTCATGAATGTCAGTGTTGGGGCCGTTCTTTCCCTTGAGGCTCTGCTCAAGTGAGGCTGAAGCAGACACCTGAGGACTTCCTCATCTAGAAAACATGTTTCCCTGAATCAGCAAGTGGAGAGCAGATACCAACGACATAACTATGAGGCCAATTTGGGGGTCTGAACGATGACTCATTGAAAAAGAGGAGGGAGAAAAACAAAACAAAACATAAAAAACAGAGCCGAGGTTGTAATGCCCTCCCCTAAAACACAGGAGATTAAACGGAAGGACTTCAAGAAGGGATTTTGGGGTTTTATCTTTTTTAACTTTACCTGGCCTCATTCTGAGTTTAAGAAACACCATTTCCCTTTTTCACGCAAAGGCAAATGTCCTGTGTTGTCTAATTTACTTCTTTTCCTGCTCTGCTCCTCTGGCCACGGTGCGTGAGCGTGAGCGCACGGCTGCAGGAATCACAGCCTCCTCCCCTCCTCCACTTCAGAAATCTCTGAAGTTCCTGAGTGTCAATTTGAGTCAGTAATATAGCATACGCCTGGCCAATCACTTCCGAGAGACAATTCAGTGAATACTTTGCCTGCGTTTACAAATCCACTCTTAGTGTGTTTTCTTGCACTACTGCACTCAGGAAAGTTCAAACTGTCCCACATCTGGGTGCCCAGCTGTTGGATGTACTATGCACTACCCCTCCAAGGGAAACATGAAAATCACGCCACACCCCCAATCCTGACCAGTTCCCTAGGGACTGTGCGGTAAGTTAGAAGCAGCATTAACACTACCACCAGCAATTTAAAACAAAATAATCAAAAATAACAAAATAAGAAAACGCTGCAGCGATTACAGTGGCCTGGGCAGAGCGAGCGAGCAGGTTGAGGGGATTACATACCTCCTGGAGTTTGGGGCAAGGAAAAGGAGAGCCAAAATCATGGAAACATACAAATGAGGGAGAAAAGAAAATTAAAACAAAGAAATTAAACCCGACTCCTTAACCTTAAGGTGCACTGTATTAGTCATTCATGTCTGCCTTGTGGGGACGGGACACAAAGACAGTGACAGGGCAAATGCCACTGTCCGGCGTGTGAATGAGGGGCTGTGGCCTCATCCGCCGCATCCCATCTGGTAAAGACAAGGTCTGAGGCACCACCAAAACCCTGGCCTCAAAGATGCCACAAATCAGCTCTCACCCAGCTGACGTTTATTAGTATATCCTGAATCCAGAGCAAAGACAGTGAAGATTACTTTGGGGAAAATTAAATGTCTCTCTTCGGATGGCTACCTCTTTTTAAAGTGTGTGTAAAAATGCTCACACACAAGCCTGTGAATACATATGTACATATGTGTATACACAAGAATACACAATCTTATGGTTATATGCATACACAGACATATACACACAACTGCAGACGTCTGGAAGGCCTGCCTTCTGTGGCACACACACACGAAGGGGTGATTTGAAGTGTGCTACAATGAAAACACAACGTGGAGAGTTTAGGAGGCTTTGGTGGAGGGTCTGGGAAAAGTAATGCAATGACCTAAACACGAGTCTCACATTTAGTTAAATTTTTTTCTTTTTAAAAAATATGGGATGCCTCATGAATTTACATGCCATCCTGGTGCAAGAACCAAGATAATCTTCGTACTGTTCTAATTTTACCATCTGGGCTGTCAAAGCTAACACTGAGTATTAGCATTTAAACAAATTTCACTGGAGGGGGAAGCAAATCCAAACCTGGATGCACTTTTAAATTTTCCAGCAGGTTTCCTTTTAACTCTAGCCACTTGGCAATAAAGATGCAGAGCAGAGTGGCCACCTCTGGGGTGAGTAATTTTAGAGCCTTAACTTCCAAGATTCTACTGGCTTAAAGATACATGAAACGTTGACAAATTCAAGAGACATTTAAAACTCCGACCAGTGAGGTGGTGCTTAAGGAGAATTTATGAACTAAGTCATTATGTATAAACCCGAGGACTTAGGATATGCTTTTAAAAGGGAATACAAATCCTACTGCCATCTGAACTAGTCAGAAATTGAAGATCTCATTTCAGCGCTTCCCAGATGTGTCAATAATGGCATAGAGTGTAAGGACTTCTAATCTCACTGGGACCAGGAGCTGAAATGGCAGAGGAGGATCATTCTAATGACACCTCCTGATAATGCAGGAACCCACACATCAAAAGGCCAAGGCAGAAGAAAACAGAGGAAAGTAGTCTCTCAGTGGCCAAAAAATTAACATCGTTACGTCTGGGGGCTCTCTCTGCATTCTGAAACGGTTAATGAAATAATCACGTGTGCATATGAATGTGCATAAAAACCTTCCTTTTGGTTACTTTGTCACCTTCATGGCAAGGCATGACCACAAATCTCAGCAATACAAGCTCACTTTTGGCAGAGGGAAGAAGAATAATTTTTAATTTTTCTGAATGAACAAAATCATTAATGTGGCTGATTTGTATTGGAAAGGAGGGGGGGAAAAAAAACCAGCGCCCAAGAATGAGTAAGAGTGCCGTGGATTGCGCTGCAGCCAGGGCCTTGGGTTTGCCATGCACGCTGCCTGTGGGGAGCCAGATGCAGAAGGAAGTGATGATGCACCGGGGTGGGGGAGGCGGGAGCACCGGATACAAACTCGTGATGGGAAGTAGAGAGAAGGGCACAGCTGGCCGCCCTCCCAGTGGTCCGGGGGTCTGGGAAGGGAAAAGGACCAGGTCCTCCGGGAACTGCCCCAGAGAGGAAATGTGGAGCGCAAACACATGTAGGCAATATTTATGCGGGCAAGCCTATCCCCAGGAGTCTCTGTGCGTCCCACGGGTCACTAGCCGTGCATTCACTTCCTTTCTGGAGGCGATCTTGTTAGAACAGTACGAATTCATACCAAAGTCTCTCCTTAGCGCCTCCTGCACCAACCCCCTTTTCCCCACAGTGCAGGCGCGGGTGGGCGAGAGTGCACACACACGTCCTTTCTTTCTAAGTTTCTGCGTTAGGAGCCCTAACCCAGACGGCATCACTTACCGAGCTTCAATAGCCAGCCTTCTCGGTCTGGGTTGAAGAAAGTGTGAGTAAGGTCATTCCCATCATCTTCTGGGATTTTAAAGGGTTCGTTTTTTATGCTCTCATACAGATTCTGGGATAAAAGATGACACTGCATGTCTCTGATCCTAGAAATACCTCACCTCCCGCCCGTTCCCACCATTCATTTAATAAGTGTCACTGTGTGCCACACACTGGTGGCATGGAGAACATCTCTCCCTTTAGGGGCTCACAGAGACAAGAGAAATAAGATGCCTAATGGACAATTAAGAAAGAAAAGAGATCAGTCCGACTCCCATTCAAGCCTTTAGTTTCAGATTTATAAACCACTTTCCCCCACTGACTCCTCACTGGGCCTCACTACCAATTTCTTAATGAAATTCACATAATTATGTGTATGGTCCGAGTAGACACTGGATGATCCCATGTCCCTCCCGTCCCCTCCATCGGCGCCGCCTGGGACCACAGTCTTGAATCAGCGCCAAACTCACCCGGAGCAGCTCCTCGGGCAGGTCTCCCCCGTCGTTGATGCCTCGATTCATGGCGATGAACCTCTCCACGGTGGGCTTGTCTTTGACATTGGGGTTATGGAGGCTGGTGTTCAACATGATGATGGCAAATGAGAGGACATAACAAGTGTCTAAAAGAGAAAAGCAAAATCCAATCGGAAACATCCCACCCGAAAGAACATGAAACTCCGGATGAGATAGAGAATAAAAAGCAGTGCTCTCAGGGCTTCCCTGGTGGTGCAGTGGTTGAGAGTCCACCTGCCGATGCAGGGGACACGGGTTCGTGCCCCGGTCCGGGAAGATCCCACATGCCGCGGAGCGGCTGGGCCCGTGAGCCATGGCCGCTGAGCCTGCATGTCCAGAGCCTGTGCTCCTCAACGGGAGAGGCCACAACAGTGAGAGGCCCGCATACCGCAAAAAAAAAAAAGCAGTGCTCTCAAAAGAATGGGCAAAATCCATGCGCCTGGATATGCTCTAACTGAAAGGTTATATACCGCTCACTGAAAATAGCAAGGCACGGGAAAGAACATAAAGCGTTCGAGACTTAAGGACGTTTATTTCTTCAGATTGTAAAAGAAGAACACATACACCATAGAAAATCAGAAAAGCACAACGTATAAAAAAGGAGATATAAACTACCTATAATCTCACCACCTAGTAATAACTTATTTTGCTTTCTTACATAAATGTGCCTACGTGTAAGGTATCACAAATGTATCTCACAGATACAGACTGTAACACAATTAGAACGAAAACAGATACATAGTTTTGAAGTCTGCTTTTTGGCTAATCTTATTAGCATTTTTCCATGTCAATAAAGCCTCTTTTTAAAAACATGATTTTTAATAGTTGCATACTTCATAATTCAGAGGTACCATAACTTACATTCTTACTACCTTATTGTTAGAACTTGGATAGTTTCCAACCTTTTACTATTATAAATACCATTTAAAGCAATGTTCTTAGGCAAGAACCTAAGCCCTTTTGTTTTAGAAATGACCTAGTACCTGGAAGAGAACCTGGCAGGCACTGCCAACCACAGGAGAGGACGCCCCCCCACCCCCGCCCCCACCGCTCACCTGTGGACTGGAACACCCCGTGGTTGCACTGACAGTAGCGCTGGGCAAATGCCTCCATCATCCGGTCAATCTTCTGGGCCTCTCCCGGCAGCCGGAAGCTCCACAGGAACTGCCTAGGAGGTGAAGACAGGGCGAGTTATGGGACTTGGGGAGATAATTTGTTTCTCCGTGAATGGTTTCTGCGGCAAAGGGTGACATGGGGGACTTCAGCCTTCTGTCAAGTAACTCTGAACAGATGCAGACTAACTACTCCACATCACCGTTCTCCCGATCGGAGAGAATGTATTTAGAAAACAATGAAGATTTTCCTGTTCAAAAGAATGGTTCTCGGGCTTCCCTGGTGGCGCAGTGGTTGAGAATCTGCCTGCCAATGCAGACGACACAGGTTCGAGCCCTGGTCTGGGAAGATCCCACATGCCATGGAGCAACTGGGCCCGTGAGCCACAATTACTGAGCCTGCGCGTCTGGAGCCTGTGCTCCGCAACAACAGAGGCCGCGATAGTGAGAGGCCTGCGCACCGCGATGAAGAGTGACCCCCACTTGCCACAACCAGAGAAAGCCCTCGCACAGAAATGAAGACCCAACACAGCCATAAATAAATAAATAAATAAATACATTGTGTATTAAAAAAAAAAAAAAAAAAGAATGGTTCTCCTCCTCAGACTGATACACAAGACTGAAATACAGGTAATGCTCATTTTAAAAGAACTCCAATTTCCAGAAGAAAAAAAAAAAGATGACATGGCGGGAGAAGAGATTTTCTATCAAAGCATTCAAGACTGGTCCCTTTAAGTCAAAGAGAGACCTGTGGTCAACAGATTTAATTCTAGATTATTTTCATCAATCTAAATGACAACACAAAAGATGATATTATTTACACTAACGGCAGTGAAAATACCAAATGACAATTTCTCAAAAGACACAGGTAATAGATTTAGCAAAAAAATTAACGTTGAGTTTTTTCCTTCTAAAATGAAGGGCACACTATCGACTTCCTATTCTAGGGCAGGAAATTAAAGGGTTTTCTAAAGTGAAATTGGGAAGGATTCAAAGTGTAAACATCAATTTCCAAAATGGTAAATGAAAGACCTGAGGAACAGTTTTGCAAAATTTGCTTTCAATTTAATTCCCTTTAACCATCCAATCATTTCAATCATAGGCCAACAGACTACCTTCCTTTAAGATGCTTCGAGATACTCAAATAACCGCCAAAGGTAAATTTCATTAAAATGCCACACAGGGCAGACGCATAACCAAAGACCCGCCTCCCGCTCCAAAAGTTGCTAGCTGTGAACACACTCACCGTAAGGCCTGGACGAGGTTGAGATCGGTGAACTCATGTAGCTCCACAAACGCATGAAGAACCTGGATGTTAAACTCATCTCTAGCAAGAGAAACAAAAGATACGGGGGGTGCGGGGAGAGCAGAAGTCAGACACAGATGCTGAGAATCCAAGGTCATGCCGACCCCCAGCCAGGCCGCCTCCCACGCTGAGCGCTGCGGGCCCCGTGGCCGGGGAGGGGAGGCAGCCATCTACCTGCAGCTCTCTGTCTGCTAGCTGAACACAGGAGGAGTCCTTCCGCCCCCAAGCACACCAGCTGCTGTTCCCCAGCACCCCTCGGGACAAAGCTCGGAGCATGATGGAGTTTGTTTCTCTAGGTAACTAACTGCTGACCAACCTACCACAGGTGTCTCCGGAGGCCTTACCTCTCCCCCAGGTAGTCACCGATGGCTGTTTTGTTGAGCCCTTCACCTTTATACAAGAACTGGGCGATGTCTTCACAGGTGTTCTTCAGCAGATCATTCTCTATTAAGAATTGGATCCCCTGGAAAGACGGCAAAGATGCCAATGGTGCCTTAGACCCCAGGAAGGTTCGGAAAGGAGACAAGGGCACAGGAAGAACGGGTATGGGTGCTCTGGACACAGAGGAAGTATCTACTAAGTAATTCCACATTCTGCAGGAAGCAGGGCTCACAACATGAGCTGCACTCTACAAACAGGCAGGTAAGCTGTCTTAGTGCCCCTGGGTTCCAGCTGACACCGTGGAAACCGCCACCTTACAGACTATGGGCTCTGGCTGCTGCCTTTCCACTTACTTTTTTAGGATCCATGTTGAATTTTTTCCTGCCCATGGCTACCTGTTTGTTCCTCTGCATGTTTTTCCTGTAAAACAACCACCACAGCCATTTAAGTACTCCAGGTATTCGAGAATTTCTGGACCCCCACACGCGTCCACTGATTTGCAGCGATTTCTGAGATTTATCCAGGAAAGCACAGGCACACTTAGGTCTAACTATGGAAGGACACTGAAATCCTGACCCTGGCCCCAGGCTCATTTGTTCCTGCTACCGCAGTGGGTTTCTTTTTTTAGCATGATTTTTTAAAACTTTATTGAGGTATAGTTTACATATCATATAACATACCCATTTTGAGTGTACATCTGAATGATGTTTAGTAAGTTTACTGAGTTGTGCAACTATCACTATAATCCAGTTTTAGAGCATTTTCAAAACCCTAGAAGTGTATGCTATGTAAGTTAATAGGTTATTGCCTCAATCTGTTCGTCCATTCATCTGCTGGTAGACATTTAAAGCTAATTCCAGTTTTTGGCTATTTTAAATAAGAATGCTGTAGATATCCCCGTGCATGTGGGCACGCTGTCATTTCTCTTGAGTAAATACCTGGGAGCTGAATTGCTGGGCACAGCACGGATATACGGGCAACATTATGAGAAACTGCCATCCCGTTCTCCCCAGTGTTTACACTGCTTATTCTCACCAGCTCTCGGCAACTCGAGACGCCACCTGTCTATTTAGTGCCAGCCGTCCTAGTGGGTGTGAAGCAGCATCTCCTTATGACTAATGATACTGAGCATTTTTCATGTGTCTATTATACATATAAAAGTGTTCAAGTTTTTTGCCCATTTTTTAGTTAAGCTGATTTATTTATTTATTTGTTTGTTTGGCTACGCCGGGTCTTAGTTGTGGCAAGCAGGATCTTTGTTGCCGTGTGCGGGGTCTTTGTTGCAGCGTGTGGGATCTTTTTTAGTTGCAGCACGCGGGATTTTCAGTTGCAGCATGCGGGATCTAGTTCCCTGACCAGGGATCGAACCGGGGGCCCCTGCATTGGGAGCGCGGAGTCTTAACCACTGGACCATGAGGGAAGTCCCTAAGCTGTTTTTCTATTAGTAAGTTTTATGTGTTCTTTCTATAGATATTCTGGATACAGGTCCTTTTTCAAATTCGGGTATTGCCAGTATTTTCTCCTCATCTGTGGTTTGCCTATTCATTTCTTTTAAGAGTATATTTTATAAGAGCAGAAACTGTAAATTCTGATGAACTCCTAGCTGTCCATTTCTTTTAAGCTACAATTTCTTTTTAATGGCAAGTAAGAAAGCTATAATTCAGAACTGACAATGCTGTGACTGGATGTGATGAGCTGGCCGATTTCTGCAGGACATGCAGCTTCACTAATCCCTGATGGCCCTGCCCACACAAGTTTAAAATAACAAAATCAAACAGTCTCATGAAGCCAGACAGGGAGACTCAGGCTTAGAAAAATACAGACATGTAGTGAATTAGAAATAGCCCATTTACGACACTAAGCAGTTAGAAAATGGTCTGGGAACCCCATTCAAAATTAAACTCTCAAAGCAACTAAGATTTCGTGTAGTTAAAAGAAGAAAAATAACCTGCAGACATCCCTTGTCACTTTGTGCTATAATCTCATTTCTACGTTCTCTTCTCTTAAGTCTTTGGGAGGCACCAGCAAGCGTATGATGACACCCAGACACAACTGGGCCTCCAGCCTTCTGGAACTGCATTGGCAGCATCCATTAAGCTTTTCCTTTACCCAAAAAGGAGAAACAGAAACTCCAGAATAGGTACACAGTGGACAAGAGAAGGGAAGAAATAGTTCATGTGACAGTTCAAGGGCAATTTAAGGCTTTGGGGGACCTGCCAAGTTCTCCAGTTCAGCCTTTCCAACAATGTCAAAAGCCCTCACATTTAGAAGTCCCTGTGCTAAAGGCAAAAAGTATGGTTACATACATGCTTGCTAGGCGAAGAGGGCAGAAAACACACTTTCTTCTTAAATACAGCATGTGTGTACAATTGCAGGCCAGCACTTGGCGGTGCTGCAACCACAGAGCCAGCCGGAGGAGGACACTCACCTCTCTTCTGTGGACCCCAGGTTTTCAATTTCATTAGCTACCTCCGCTATCTCATCCTTCAGCCTCTGCAGAACACACAGCCCAGAATTACCAGGAGGAAGATACAGATCACATTAAAATCTCTAAAATCTCGCACAACTCCCTCCAACCAAAAACTAAAACAAAGCAAAATGAAATTAAATAAGATGACGCCTCCCCCCCCCCACCGCCAAAATCTAAAGGTTTTTGGAAAATTCATCTATTTAACAAATATTTCTTGGGTTCCTACCAGATAGTAAACATTCTAGGGAATACAAAGGTGAAAAAGATACCTTCTGACCACAAGGGGTTTAGTCTAGGACAGAAATTTATAATCATACACACTATGTACAATATGTATTTTTCCACTGAAAACGGCGGCCTGAACACAGTCTGTTGGAGCACATCCGCAGCTCACTGAACAGCGGGTGACAGAAGATTCCCAGGATAAACCACTCCCCCCAACGCCCAGGCTGCCCGGCCAGCAGTGCTGGTGCTGGGCCAACAGTGCCGCCAAGTGGCTGGCAAAGGGAACGCTGATCCCAGCTCTGCCTTCCACCCCTCCCCCATCTAAGCAGGTCCTCAGCGTGGACGACCGTCACGCTGGAGGGGGCTCTGAGTGAAGAACTGCTAAGCTTTCCCAGCACTTACCAGTGAAGGAGGAATCAAAGAACTAGGGCCACAGCAAAGTATACTCACACCAACACTGGAGCACGCCCAGTCTTTGCAACGATACACTTTGCAGCTTGGGGTTACAGGGTGTGCCCTCTCCCGTCCCTGCCCCTGAGCTTTCAAATGTTTTACAGAGCAGAGAATTCTGAAAGAATTGGCTTCCCCAGGGGCTAAAATAATCCAACTAATGGCAACCTATCAACAGGTGTTTTCATTCCTATTTTACAGATAAAGAAAATGAAGACCAAAGAGGCAAAATTTTCTATCTAGAATCGCCCTGCCAGAAAGTGGCCACCAGGATGTGGACATGGGTCTACATAACCTGAAGCCTGGGTTCTAGTCGCAGTCAGGAGACCTGCCACTCTAGCCTGACAGCCGGCCAGCTGGGTGCAGCTTACAGAGCACTCCTCCTCTCTGAGATTCCACTCTCACTTGTTAATAAGCAAGGCTGGTTATCAATACCTGCACTTTATTAGAACTGTGGTGAGACCGAGGCAGAAGGTGTCACGAGAAGACACCTGGTCGAGGTGGCTGCCCAGCTCCTACCTGGATGTCGGCCAGCAGCTCCTGCTTCCTCCGCCGAATGTTCTCCAGCTCCTGGCGCTCCTCCGCAGTCAGGTCACTGGGAACTACAAGGAAGGAGGGAAGGATCACTAAGAAAGCTTTTCCTCGCCAAAAATAAATACAATCCAGAGATGCAAAAGGACAAAGGTACCATGGAAGAGGTGAGAAGCCAGTGTCGGAAATGAGCGACTGCTGGGGACGGATCTGGCTCCCATTCTCCGTCAGGATGACCAAGGTTAGAAAGGACAGTGGATCACAGAGAAGAGCTCTGATAAAGGAACAGTTGTCACAAAAAAACAAGAGAGAAAAGGCTGCCTGAGATGAGATGAGGTTGGCTAGGAATGAAAGAGGAGGACTGTGGGCCAGGCCCTGGCCACTTCCATCCTGAGGGGTGGGGGGCTCAGGCCCCTGGTTAATCCATCTCTCTAGGCCTCAGCTCCCTCACTGGGTCCAGCCCCGACACAGGGCAATGTCCATGACCCTAGCGGGGAGGGGGAGGCAACAAAGCGGCAACGTGAACGACAGTTTTGTGCCATTCTGAAGGGGGAAGGGGAGAGACTAGTATGTACAGAGAAAAAAAATCTAGAAGGACACACCCCCAAACTGAAACAATGTTTAACTCTTGAGGATGGGGTTATGGGGACTTTTCTCTCTGCTTTATACCCTTTTAACACTTTTTGAATCATATTTTTAAATGAGCTCTTATCACCAGAACAAAGTTACTTAATTCCCCATCACAGTTCTCACCACAAAACGCTTCCTCATTCCTCAAGACTCCATCTCCTCTAAAAGCAGGGGCTCAGGGTAGCAAGGCCCTACAATGGCCCTTCTGAGTGTGCGGGCAGCCGGTGGTCGATGGAAGAACAGGCGTTGGCATCACGCACGCCCGGCTCCAATCCCAGATCCAACCCACCACGTGGCACTCAGGCCACTTTGCACAGTTACTGAACCTATTCAGGCCGCATTCACCACCAATAAAACGGGGACACCCTCACCCATGCACTGGCTGCTGTGAGGGTGAAGTCCCACAGTCACTGAAGTGCGCCCCATCCCACCCGGGGCTTAGGAGGGGCTCACAAGTGTTGGTCCCATTCCCTTGGGGGCCACAGCAAAGGGCCCCGTGTTGCCAGATGGGAGGGGCAGTACCTGGATGCTCCCACCCTTTGCGCAGGCGCCTCAGTAAGTGAGAACTGCTCCGTATGATGTGGTGGCCACAAGCCGAGTGTGGGTAGTAGGCACTTGAAATGTGATTAGCCCAGTTTGAGATGGGCTGTGTGTGTAAAATACACACCAGTTTTGTACCAAAAAAGTAACGTATCTCTTTAATACTTTTTCGTATTGATTACACATTGAAATGATAAGTTGGTAAATAACATACATTATTTTAATTGTGCTCACAGGGGCTGCTGGAGTGTAACACTGCATTTGTGGCTCATATTACGTTTCTACTGGGCAGCACAGTGGAACAGTTCTGCTTGAAGGCGCAGTCAGGGTGCACGACTTGCCAACCATGGCACTGAAACTGAATCTACTGCGTTCAGAACACAGTTACTCTCCCCAAATATGTCATAAAAATCATGTAAGACAATAGAAGAGGGTAGAAACAACAGACCACGATTAAGTCTCAGCACAGGTTAGTTAGTTACATTAGGTTCTAAGCTGATTCTTCCTTTTTTATCCAGCTTTTCCCCACCCTTGTCTAGAAAAGTGTCTTTTTTAAAAAAAATAATAAATGTATTTATTTTTATTTTTTTTAAACATCTTTATTAGAGTATAATTGCTTTACAATGGTGTGTTAGTTTCTGCTTTGTAACAAAGTGAGTCAGTTATACGTATACATATGTCCCCACATCTCTTCCCTCTTGCGTCTCCCTCCCTCCCACCCTCCCTATCCCCCCCC